GGTGAGTATGACAAGCAGGTCGCAGCCTACTCGAACGAAAGGAAGGAGATCGAGCTGCTGCCCGACCCGTCCAGCGGTCCTGCTCAGGACGCGGATGACCAGGGAGTGCGTGACACAGACCTGACCTCTGAGAGTTCTTTTGAGGTCGAGGTTATCGGCGCCCCCACCCGGCCATCTGAAGTCAAAAGGGAAGAGCCTTCCCCGGAGCGGGCGACGCCTAGGTTTGCGACTCTCGATTCTGGTGTTCCAGGCCCCGGAACGGCGGTTGCAGAAGCTCAAGAAGAGGTTAAGGAGGCGCCGGAGCGAGAGCGTTCGCCTGCGCCCGAAAGAAGGGCTAGGGCTCGAATCCCGAAAGGGTATGAAGGTGAGCCGCCAAACTTCTGGTGGGTCCGTCTGCCGAAGGAGCTGTGGCAGAAGGATGGATGTTGCCGGCTGTGCACGAGTCGGTCAGGAATCAAGGGCAAATGTCCTATCGATGATGACCACCTGGTCAGCGACCGGCACATAGACGAAATGTTCAAGTTGGAGGCCCGTTATGAAAGGGAGCGTGCCGCTGCAGCTGCCGCAGAAGCCCAAGAGCGGGAGGAGGCAGCACTTGAGGAGCGTGGAGCCGCTCCAGGAGAGGGAGCCTCAGCTGAGGGGCGCGTCGTGGCGGATGACATCGTCACGACAGGGTGGCGCTTCTCAAAGATTTGCCGGTCGGTAAGCATCGAAGGTAGGAAAGAAAAAGAGGGGAGCAAGCTCGCAGGCGTCGCTTCTCGGTTCGAGGGCGACGCCGCGGCTAGCTCATCCAATGCGCCTCGTCTTGAAGAATTAGTTGAGGAGGCGCCAGCGGGAGGCGCTCGCTTGGCGCGCGCTTGGAGTCGCAAGGTGTCCCTAGGCGGGGTGAGAGCCGTGGAACAAGCCTTGGCAAATGCCACTGCTGCAGAAATCAGGCATGGGTTCCAGACCTCATCGCAGGCTGCCACCTTGGCAGAACACTCTCAGGGAGGCACCGCTGCGGATGCCGCCCGAGGAGAACGTCTGGAAGGCCTGATGAAGGCAGGCGCGGCGGCGTATGCTGCCAATCAACTCCTCCGGTCTCGGCTCGGTTCTGAGCCAGTCCCGGAAGGGAGCAAGGCGCAGTATGACTACGGCTCGAGCCTTTCAGAACTAAGGCCAGAAGGAAGAGAACTCAGACGCGTGGCAGTAGCTGTAGCAGGCGCTTCCGATGCACCTGCGGGCGCGACTGGGCTCGATGCAAGGCACACAGCGGCGCTGGAGGCGCGCGAGGCCGAAGGCACAGGGAAGAGTTTGAGGCAGCTCACGCGCGAAGCCAAATCGCGCGTCAGGGCCGCAGAACATCGCAGGACCGTTGCAGGCCCTCGTGAAGCCACCCTGCGGCTGGATCGTGCAAGAGAGCGCGGAGAAGAGCGGCTCGAGAGAGGAGAGCGCTGGGGACCTGATGAGGCTCTAGACGAGTTAAGGTACGTCTGGGGTTCATGGGTCTGCTTCTGGTGCGCCACGGTCAACAGCCCAGATGCGTGGGTTTGCAAGGGGTATTCGCACGGAGAGAAATGCGAAGGAGAGTTCAAGGAGTCCAGAGAATGGGCCCCGGTAAAAGAATCTCTGCGAGCGGCCTATGAAGCAAAAAGGAAAAGGAAGGCAGAAAAGAAGGAGGAGCACCGCACGCTTCTGGGCAAGGCGTTGTCTTTCGCGAAGTGGGAGTGCTCGAGGTGCCGCTCGGCGAACATAGTAAATCGGAATAAGTGCTATGTTTGCTCGCAGCAGCGGCCCAAACGTGCGCGCCGCGATGATGATAGCTCGGGGACGGACAGCAGCAGAGAGAGAAGGGTTGCTGCCAGCCTCGAGGGCATCCCAGAAAGGAGAAGGCGCAAGAGAGGGGGAACGAAACATCGGAAGCGCACAAAGAAGGTGTGCCGGTGTGGGAGGACTCACACCAACCAGTCCAAACGGGCTGAGGGACCTCGCCGATGTTCTCCGAAGCTGAGAGGTCTCGCAGATGGGTCTTTCCGTTTCGGAAGGCTTGCCGCGGTCCTTAAGCTTTCAATGCGCTCCGTCGTCCGACTGGTTCAACAAAAGGAACGGCGGACGCCCCGGACCATCCGTTCATGGCTGAACAAAAAGAGCCGTAACCGCCTTCAGCATGCGCTGAATGGGAACGGCCCCGGCTGGATGAAGGTGCTGGCCTTCTTGGCTGCAGTTCCACTGGTTTGGCGGACTGAACAGGGAGCAGAGGAAGTTGTTGACGCGCTCACGTCCTATGCCCAGAGGACAATAGCCGAGGTTGAGGAAGTCTCGGTAGAGATTGTCCAGGTGACAGGAAGGATTGTCGTGTCAGCAGTCCTAGCCACAGGGATGGGGATCCTGTGGTGGCTTGGAAACCTTGTCCGGAACAAGTTGGTCAAGTCAAGCCATGGTAACTCCTTGCCAGCCCGTCTCTTGGAGCTTCGAAGAATTCGAAGTCAGCCGGAGGTTCGACTTGGGAGGTCACTGGAGGAAGAGGTGTCCACCGAGTCTGGATCGGAGAGGATGGTCAAGGGGCATGCGCTTGCAGGGCGTACCTCGCCAGTGGGGTTTGCGGCCACATTGACTCGGCCATAGGAGAAGCTCGTAGGCTGAAGGTGTATCCTGAGAAAGAGGTCAGGTTCGCCAAAGGTTCCGCGGCAGAAAAAGGTGCGGCCTCACTACTGGCGTTGGGCGCGGAAAATGCGACCCGTGAAAAGAGGGTATGTTTTGAAGGGGTGGCGAAGAAGGCTAGGGAACTGTGGTTGAAGCCGTCGTCGCCTCCGGGTTCGCAGGGGTCAGAATCTGGTTGTTCTGGGGGAGTCAGCAAGATGACTCGTCAGACGGAGTTGAAATCAGATGACAGGGTGGCAAAGGAAGCAACCGCTGGTTTGAATGTCCAGCTGGGGTTGGAAAACGCTCCCACCGCCCAAAACCTGGAGATCGAGTACGTCCGAAACAAGGAGGCGCAAGTTCGTGCTGTTGAGCTTCTGCAGCAGAACCCAAAAGCGTCCGTACGAGTTACGGCGTACAGTTTCGACCAACCAGATATGGTTGAGATGATCAAGGGTCATCAGGGGTTCGTGCGAATCCTAGTGGACGCTGGGATGACACACGAGTCTCGCACGAAGATGCAACTTCAGAGCCTGATGATGCTCCGAAATGCCGGACATAGAATCCGGGTATGTCGAGGAAGATCCCTGAGCAAGGCCTATGCAGAGGACAGCAGGTCGACAACCGCAGGGTCGGGCTTGAAAGGGATCCAGCACTCGAAAACGTGCTTCGTGGAAAATGGAAAGGTTGGGCACTTGGTGGTCGGGAGCTGTAACTGGACTACAAGCTCAAAGGCCAACAGGGAATCCGGAGTGGTGATCACCGCTGATGTGGATCACCGAGTGTTCCAAGCCTTCAAGGAGCACTTCGAAGAGGATTGGGAAGAGAGCCAGGTGTTCGATGAGGCCGACTTCCAATCCTCGCAGGGTCAAAGGCCGAAAGCAGGCAGGAAGCAGAGTTCGGCTTCCGCGGACTGACTTGTCCGGCTGGCCCTGCGGGTAGCGTGATCCGGTTCGGACCGCTACCGCGGGCTACGCAAGCAGCTTGAAGAGCCGCAGCCACTGTAGTTCCTCCGGCTGAGGGGCGAATGTGGATAGAAGCATGCGTAGCCCTCTAGTAGTTGCATGTGTTTCACTTTTGGCTCAAGCCGCTGAATGGTTTGAGGTTGAGCTCGGTAGGTAGCTGTAGGTAGCCGCTTAGCTCTGTTTCACCGCGTGAACGACCGCTCGGACTGAACTCGTGAGCGATAAACAGCTGCGCGTGCGCGTTTGACCGTCGACGCGGTCAAGACCGTTCGCGTCGCTCACAGCTCCTGGCCTTACTACTAGGAGCAAGAACACTACTAGGGGAGCACTACTAGGAGCAAGGAAGCAAGGACGCCACTAGGGGCTCCTGGCCTTACTACTACGAGCAAGGACGCTACTAGGGGCTCCTGGCCTTACTACTAGGAGCAAGGACGCTACTAGGGGCTCCTGGCCTTACTACTAGGAGCAAGGACGCTACTAGGGCTCCTGGCCTTACTACTAGGAGCAAGGACGCTACTAGGGGTTCCTGGCCTTACTACTAGGAGCAAGGACGCCACTAGGGGCTCCTGGCATCGCTACTAGGAGCAAGGACGCTGCTAGGGGCTCCTGGCCTTACTACTAGGAGCAAGGACGCAAGGACGCCGCTAGGGGCTCCTGGCCTTACTACTAGGAGCAAGGGCGCCACTAGGGGCTCCTGGCCTTACTACTAGGA